TTAAAATAACAATCATTAGATTTAATATTATTAATAAGCTTTTTAATTTATTTTATAAAATATGATATATCAGAAGTGATGATACGGCCTATATATGTAATACCCTATAAAAATTAAATATTGGTTTTTTTTTGAATTTAGTGATTAGGACAGTGAGCAGATCCTTCATCACTTTTTATATATATTTTAATAGTAAAGAATGAATTGCATATTTTTAGGTGTCTAGAGCGAATCTCTTTACTTTTTTTAATTATTTTAGCATAAATCTATTTTCAAACACGATTAAAAAACAAAGTTACGTTGAAAGTTGACTCTTTACAAAAATTCTCTTTCATATCGTATACTATTCAAAAGAAAGATATTTTCGTTGCAGGTAAAATTTAGTACTAAAACATGAAATTTTTCTAGCGTAATATTGCTATAAACATGTTATATAAAAAGTGATAAAGAATCTACTCACTGTCTTAATACTATTCTGATCACTAAATTCAAAAAAAAATCAAATATTTAATTTTTATATGGTATTACATATAGTTATGATTTACTTAGTTTACCGCACACCCTAATGTAACATTGCCCGAGCAAAAATTATAGCACATAACACAAAATTACCATTGAACATATAAAACTAGAAACACCAGTCCTGGAAGTTGGTGAGTTGAAAGCTATGGGGTGGGTCAAGAGGTGACGTTGACGAAGAATCCTACGTATAGAGGTACATAGTGTAACTAGCTGACACCATATAGGAAGTAAACCATGAAGATTATGAATGCCTCTAGAAATATCTAGTCACCCATATAGGAGTACCTTGATAGGCAATGTGATGCAGAGACTACATAATAGGAATAGGTTGTATAGTTATAATAGTTTAGGATAAGTTTACCTCGGGGATAGGTCATATATAAAAGTTAAAAATTTGTATAACATGTAAATAAGAATTTATGTACTGATATATATAATAACTAATCACCAAGAGATCGCTTATTAAAAAATAAGTGTCAGATTGATCATTCGGTCATTAATCACAAGTCCGATCAGTCAAGAAAAAGTTCTAAACTGAACTTAGAATTCTAGAATGATACATATTGTACTACTGTACTATGTACTACAATATATACATGAGCGGACAATTCCCCTACCGCTACACAATTTTTTCCGTAAAATATTTTTTTTGGAAGTTTTCTGTTTATTATTATCATGAACCGAATACGTACGCGTACACAATGTATAAATATAGACGTCACAAACTATACATGTCCAATTACTGTAGATGCACATGATTGACACAAAGTCATATAGGCATACATTTTGGTGCACTCTGTTCCAATATGGTGTAAATATTTAACGGATACCTACTTGCAGGGTAAACCCGAAAAAAACAATTAAAAGGTTGGAATTTAGGGATGAGATGCTAGCGTTAGGAGTTATAGGGGTAAACTATTTTCCGTTAATGTAAAATCCCATCTCGCCATTTTTAATTAGAATGCCAAAGTCTATTTAAACATTAACTTCATCGACTCGTTCGGAATCTATGTCTGACTGGTCTAGATAATCAACCTTTGATATATACACATACATAATTGCTGTTTCTTTTTTTAGGAGTTTCCTTTTCAGGGATTTGCTTTATTCGGATGCAATGAAATGAAATCTGTTTTAGTCAAAAAGTTCTTGTCCTAGCATAATTTATATATTTTTTATCTTGCCTGTATTTTCTCTATCGTATTTCTTGCCAAGATAAATACACATGTAATTCAATCATCAATAGTTATATATATATAAAAAATGTCTTATCTAAACAACCCTACTCAGTATCATTTAGAACAACTAAGGCGTCGAAATATGAATATGTCAATTCTGGCGAACGATGCTACTTCTGAAACTCTTCATAATTCATTTAACAGCAGCAGAGTAAGCCCAATTATCTTGAGCACAGATACAACTCAATCTTACGTACCTGACCCTAGTCATATAAAGCAAAAACCTGGTTCTTTCGATGTTTATAAAGTGGATCTTGATCAACAAGTTAAAATTCAATATTCTACAATATCGTCACCTTCACCTGTTGTTTCTCCTACATATCGTAACTTTGGTACCAAATTTATAATATCATGCCTGGCTAGTCCTATAAGCCTTTTAGTTATACGGATTTATAAGTAATGAATATTATGTTCAATATTCACAAATATGTTCTATGCAATATTAGGTCCAACTGAGGTGTCGTTGATGATGTATCAAAACTATTCAATGGATCCTAAAAATTTTACCGACATTCCTCAAAAGAACCATTTCACGGATTCTGATGAATCTAGCGATAACGCTCAAAAACAGTATGCTTTTTCGCCTAAATTTCATGAATTTGTTTATTTGATTTCATCAACGTCACTATAAATTTATTGTAAATTTTCATCTTAGGGCAATTCTAATTGAAAAGAGACGTCATCGTAGAGAATTACATAATGCTGGTGAGCTAGATTGTCATTATATTTTTAGCTAGTTTTCTTTATTTAAATTGATCTGGTGCATTTTTTTGACTTTCAGTTATTAAACGTAGTCCAAATATGAAAGAAACGATTCAAGAAATATCTACTCTCATACCGGATATTCTTATTGATTCTTCTAACAAACAAAATAAATTTGTTATTCTCTGTAAAGCAATAGAATATATCAAACATCTTCAACAACTGGTAAGAGAACAACGTGCGCACAACGCAGTCTTAGAAAATATAATGATAGATATGAGGCATAAAGCGTCCATCGAAAATAATGGCACAAAAATCAACAATTAATCAAAACATCAAAACAAGAATTTATTAAAAATTTGGGTAAATATATGAACTTATTTAAACTTATTTTAATAATTTTAGTATTAATTTTGTTTATTAAATATAGATGAACCTGATTACTACATTAATGAACTTGCAAATAAATTTTTTTCAAATGCATATATTTCTTAAACTAATTTTATACTTTAACTATAAATCTACAAATATATATTATTCACGTATTTAATATATAGTATTAACAGTTTTATTTTTATATTTATTTTTACAATTTAATTTTAAAATATATATTAATTTAGTAATTGTTATTTCCAAATTTTTACTTGCGTACTAGCGTAAAATGTAAGCTTCGTTCTCAATCATTTTATTGTACTCTTGACCTTTAGCTGCATATTTTCTTGGTACTTTTATTGCGCCCTTTCCCAATCTTTCATTGTTTTTTTTTCCTAATGTTTTCATTGCGCCTCTTCCTAGTCTTTCAGTACATCCTTTTCCCAATCTTTTAATTGAGCACCTTCCTAATTTTTCATTCAATTTTTCTAATCTTATTGCACTCCCTCAAAACATTTCTTTCCGATCTTTTATTTTTACAGAATGAGATACAGCACCTCAGCAATGTAGTATTACATTTACAGTTTTTGCGACAAATCATACAAGTGTCATGACATATTATTGTATCAACTATAAAAATTGATTATGTTAGTTTACTTACAAAATATTGAAAAACATACCTGAATTCATAGATTACCATTCTGAAATACACATGTTTATGAACGAAACATATATAAATTCTGCAAATTTCTGATAACTTGTTTGTTAATCTTTTACGCTTTATTAAAATTGGAAACTGAATATTATCAGTATGGATGGTTAGGTCTCAGTTAGGTCCTGATAGGTTCTAAGTAAATTAATAATTTTTACGTTGATTTTTTATTTTTTTAGTTTTTAATTAAAATTATTAATTATAAAATTATGAACTATTTTACTTATAAGCATAAAGCAAAAAAAACTTTATTTAAAGCTTATAAATTTTTTTAAAATATTAATTTAGAACCTAGGTTCTGGGACCTAGATTCTAAATTAATATTTTAAAGAATTTATAAGCTTTAAAGAAAGTTTTATTGCTTCATAATTTTATAATTAATAATTTTAATTAAAACTAAAAAATAAAAAATCAACATAGAAATAAAGATAAAATATAATATAAAAGAATAAATACATAACTAAAAAAACTGAAGGAAAATTAACTGATAGTAATATCAGAAAAATAAACAAGTGCGCTTGTTATAGTAATATCAGAAAAATAAATAAGTGCGCTTGTTATGATGCTTTCTGAAAAATGTCAATATAGTAATAATTCTTTATAGCAGTTCGAGAAATGAAGCTCTTATACATTGATCGAAATAATAATTCGGATCTATGTCAAATATTAATATAAAAATAGTATATAGTTATTGGATGCGAAGCAGCTAATAATAGAAAATAATTTCCGTTATTTTGGCTGCTGCGCATCCTATTTCAAATCATAATGTATATTTATTTATCAGTTTTGAAATAATCAACTGCGTTTTTTTTTTATAACTTAATCATTTAAAGATAATTTGTCGATATTCAATTGAGTTTCCAACTCCCTTGGATTCCTTTTTCAGTTAACACTTCAATTAATTTAGTTTTAATTTTTCTAATTGTTTACGGGCATAAGCACTGTTATGTTGTAAAAACTTGTTGTGCTTCTACTAAACTCTCCAGCTACAACTGATTATTTTCATCCAAATTATTATCAATAACATCTAACTGTTAATCTAAATTCACCCTTTCTATTTTCTTAAACTCCAATTTTAAATCATAACTTTAAAGCTTTGATCAAACTAATTAATTATTCTACTTGATTTTTTTAATACACTATTACGAATTAGTACGCTGCAATATTAAACTTAACCATCTTAAGCTTAGTTAACTTTTGTTGCTTGTCCTTGTTTTGCTCAATACCTTAAATGCATAGTGTTTGCAAATTAACAAAGTCATTAAGAACTAGCTTTTATTCTAATATGACATTACAAAAGTAATAATCTGAAGCAGCGTAACAATTATGTTAGTCATTATTGCAGTGTTGACATGGACTGGGATTAGCATTTCCAAACAATTTAGTTGGTGGCTTTCCAGGACACTCCAAATCTTTCAACTCAAATGTATTATATGGTGTGTTTCCCCCAAAATTCTACTTGAAATCGGTGTTGTTACAGACTGACCAAATTGTGCCATTCTTCCAAGTGTACATTGGCATTTAACGTAGATGTAAAGAGTTGTTGTTCGTTTCCTTTCATCTGCAGGAATTTTTTTATTTAACCACTCGTTTGCATTTACCATATTATATAAAATGCTAAAATATTAATGAATATTTGGTCATTCTTAAATGATATTTAATATGTACCAATTTTATTATGTGCGCATCTAACAGCACGTATTTTTTATAATATTATTAAGAAATTCAGTATATCAGATATATTGTCCGAAGAACATTACGGTAGAAACAAGTGATAGGTTTTGTCAATCAGACAATCAAAATAAGCTTTTTCTGTAAACTAGGCACTTGAATTGTTTAAAGTGTGTTAGGAATGAGTATTCTATATTGTATTATACTATTACACTACATACTGTATCAATTCTAGTGAGAAATCGCTTCATGCTTACTTTATGGTTTTATAAACAATTTAGGTCGATTCCGAATTGACCTAGGTCATTCGTAAATTTCCACCGATTCAGAAATGACTCAGGTCAATTTTTAATGAAATTTAAAGATCAGGGTGTAATTAATTATTGAGTGACAAATGTGTATCAACTACTTTATTATATATAAACTGGGCGCTTGAGTGGCTTAAAAGGAGTTAGAAATTTATGTTGTATATTGTATTGTACAATGTAGCTTGTTATCGAATTGCAGGATTATACGAGTTTATGGATCACATTGTTAGATCGAACTATAATGGTTTGTGTTGTTGTTCTGGTTGTTCTCGTTAGATCTGGATTTTTATATATAAATAAGTTAGGTAGTGCTTATTTGTCATGCAATTAATTGTCACACCCACGGCGGTGCAACTAAGGATGGCTCCGAAAGTATTTTGGCGTACCGAAAGTCATGCCGAAATCGAAAGTCATGCCGAAAATCTTACCGAAAGTCGAAAGTCTTACTGAAAGTCGAAAGTCTTACCGAAAGTCGAAACCCTTACCGAAAGTCGAAAGTCTTACCGAAAGTCAAGGCCAATCATATCTTGACACAGATACTTTTTTGATTTTAAAAAGTCACGTGACCGCTGCACTTAGAATCTACCACTAGAATTTTTATAAATTCAATTGGTCGATTTTAAGTGCAGCGGTCACGTGACTTTTTTAAAATCAAAAAAGTATCTGTGTCAAGATATAATTGGCCTTGACTTTCGGTAAGGGTTTCGATTTTCGGTAAGACTTTCGAATTTCGGTAAGGGTTTCGACTTTCAGTAAGACTTTCGACTTTCGGTAGGACTTTCGACTTTCGAACATTTGGTAGACTTTCGATTTCGGCAGGTCCGAAAGTACCTACTTTCGGAGCCATCCTTAGGTGCAACACCACGTAATTTAAGGATCGGGTGTGGCAAATCATCTAATTTACTTATATAAATAAATTAGTCAGTGTTTATTTGTCACACATCATGAGTCATCATTTGATCCCAAAACTTAATAGAAATTTAGAACCCAGAATTATTACGTATGTCAAATTAATTAATGCAAAAAAAACAAAAATTAATAAATAAATAAACTTTTCGAATGTTTAACGTTATCGATAAATACTACTTTTTTTCCTTATTAATGTGTGAAACCTTTGATTGAATATTAAAAACTTTTTATTCATCAAAGGAAAAACAATCGCTGTTTAATGGATCAAAAATAAATAAATTCAATATTTAACTGTAATTCGACTTATATAACCCAAATTTAAATATTGGGTAATATAATTTTAAAATTATTTACGTTGGGGCAACTAAAGAACTTTATGTGATTAAACAATCTGAGGACGTAAGCTTGTTCTGATGAAAACTTTTTATGCTTTAACGCGTTTTTTTTATTGCGTTTTTTTTTTATTTATCTGTATTGTGTATTTTTTATTAATTATGTGAATTTTTTATTATTTATTTGTATTGCACATTTTTTATTTATACGATTTTTTTTTTTTATTTGGAGCATTAAACCATTTGTTCTAGTATAACTAAATTTTATTACAAAGAATGTTTATAGGTTATGATTTCTTTATGCTTTTTTCATACAAAAGAACCTTAATAATAGAATTAATATTATCGCTTGTGTATATAATTTTAGATTTTTAAAAAATTCACCGATTGAGAAATGACCTGGGTCAATTCGGAATCGACCTGAATTGTGAAATGATTCAGAACATAACTACGTGCCACATTTTAATTATTACAAAATATTATTATAATATGCAATGTTTGCAATATTTAATAAGTATATAATATTTTAGCCAGTTATATAATGTAATTAATATAAATTTATAATATGCTAACAATAAAGAAGTACGCATAATTTTAAATATACAATGTAAAATATATAATTTATTTAGACCAGAATTATTTAAAAAAATTAAATTTTTACATATCGATATTTTCATTTTATTTTCTCTTTTATTTTTTCAATAATTATTTCTCTAATAGGCCATTTACTTGATACGTTCAGGATGTTAATTTATTAATACAATATACCTATATATTGGTCATCTCATTAAGGATGATACACCAACTTGATACATTTAAATTAAAATGTAATTACACAAAATTTTACATATTAACTTGTAATTAAATAAA